AATTTAATTTGAAGATTTTGATGAATGTTGCTTACGAATTCTTGTTAACCTTCTAATTGTATGCAAATTATGAGATGTAAATGTGCATCTTGTATTATTTTTAAAAATTTTGATATTTCTACATTTTTATATATTATTATCTTGCTAGTGTGTGTTTCGCCCATTCATGCTTGGACAGCCACTTGGACAGTAATTCATTTTACTTTTTTGGCAATCCCACTGGCTCTTTTGGAAACATGGATTACCTTTTCGTAGATTTTATTATATTTTGTACATGAACAAGGTAAAAATAAATGAAATGTGTTAAAAAGTTAGTGTTAAAAAAATAATCACATCTAAATGACTTGTTAATTTTCTACTATAATAACCGAGTTTTGAATAAGCTTTTACTTTTATATGTTAAACTCTCTTAGTATGTCTACAATTACTTATACTGTTCTATGTACTGTATTTCATTTACTTTGAGCATGACCTAATTTTCAATTGAACTATGTTATACATTGACAAATGAAACATCTTGTATCCCAAGGCATTATCAAGTGGCAAAAAAAAAATGTTTCCTGAGCTCAGGTTGGTTATTTACTATTTTGAATATAAAGTTTTAAGTTTTGTGCCAATAAGCATCCTCCCAATATATTTTGGTTGATTGAATAGTAAGCACAGGGCTAAGGGCCAGGTTACTGTATCTAATGTATTGTGAAATAGCATTCTGTATTTTGGGCTGCTGCTTGTTAATAACAACATATTTTTGCCAAAAAGCTGACCATAGGTCTTCTAAATTCTAGTTTGGTCAGGGCTTACGGAACAAAGGTTTTTTCCCTTCCAATTACGGATTTAAATACTGTAGTACAGAATTGGCTCCAAGTGCCATACAGGTTATCAGGCATTCACAATTTTATGCATGATGTACTGTAATAAGCCAATTTTTATAGCTCATGAATATTTATAGCCATATTATACACTGTGTGAGAAAGATATTAACAGAAACACATACACTGTGATTTGTAGCATGTTTCATTAATAACTGCCTGTGTCAACAAAACCACCAACTTTGTTACATGACGTTAATAAAAAAGTATACAATTGTCATTTTGTGTGAAGTTTATTTCATTGATCTGTCATTTAAATACGAGAGAACAATTACTGTAGACATTAAATAAAATTCCTAATTATTGAAAGATGTTAAACGTACACTAGTGGTTCTGAGCAAATAAACATTTAAAAATTATTAGCTTTCAACTGAAAAAAGAACAAAAAAATCTTTACCTCACAAATTAATAGACAATATAGTGGCATAATTCTTAATGCCATGTTTTATTGTCAACTCATCTGTCTTCAGAAACTAACAGATTACATTACAAATGATTAATGTTTGTTCTTGTAGTGAATATCTGTAAATCAGCAAAAAAAACCAGTTTGTTCTGTCTCATTGGAAGTTAGTAACTTAATTAATGAGTAAATTAATAAATTGAATGTATGTATTTCAGCCTATGTCCATCAAAAAATGCATTATTTCAAGAAAAGTTTGTTCATAAAAAAATATAAACAGCTAAAAATAGTATTAAAAATCAAGAGTTTCACTCTGACAAAAAAAACATGAATTAAGTATATTCTGGCAAATTGATCACTATTACACTCTCAATGATTACAGCATGTCTCCGGCAAGGAATAGTGGTTCACAGTTTGTCAAACAAACCTTGTTTATTTTGGCCCTCAAATACTAGACTCAGAAATACCAGGATGGTGTCCGGCGAGTTTAGTTACCGGTATTAAGATTATATAGTAAAGTCTAACAGTCCTAGTATATTCTGACCCTCAATGCAGTATTGCAATACTTAGTTTGTATGTGAATGAGTGAATAAATATGTAATGTTTATTAATGCAAGTGCCACTTTACAGATTGAGAACTGCACTTTTAACACCACTTCAAATTCAAGACAAATATGGACAAAACTCTTTACCTTAGAAACACACAAGTAAAATGGGAATTAGTTTTTCTTCCAGTCTACGAAGATAAGTCATACTAAATGACCAGTATAGCAACATTACTACAGTGCAGTGTACATCCACAATGAACAAGCACACAAAACACAAATGAGGGTTTCCCATTCAAAAAATATACATTAGCGGTTAACATTAATCAACATGAAAGACTGTACATGTTAACAAACAGATGGAAGTTTATTGCTAAACTTGAGATAAAGCTTTTGGTAAACACAAATATTTTCCATTCATTTAGCTACTCTATATTTTTGTTAATTTTCAATACAGACATGTTTATCTATAATCATAGTTCAGTAAAGTATGTTTGTTTAACATCGATAATTCTTGGCAAAACCATATTTACTAATTCTAAAGACAGAAAAACATTTTCATAACAACGCACACAAAGCTATAAAATTTAATAAACAATATAATATAAGCCACAACATAATTTTCTTAAATTCTTTGGAAATTAAATATAAATTGTTTAAAGTGAAATTCTTGTACTGTACCTATATTTGTTTCCAAGAGCCACACACACACTGACATTTGGAATGGTTTGTAAACAGATTTGAGGCACGTTTACAGAGTGGCAACAAAAGAATATGAAGGGAGGTTTGGCACGTGGAGGCTGTTTGGCGCAGCGGGAACGGTTTGGTTTCCCAAACTCAGGGTCTAGGTTTCAATCCCTCGCTGTGCATTTAGCTTGTGTCCTTGAACAAGGTACTTTATGTGCATTGCTTCTCTCCACCTAGGAGTAAAAATTGGTACCTGGTGGGGTTGCCTGCTCCTGCACTGATTTGCAGCAGCAACACAAAGCATGTGGGCCCAATGACCAGGGAAAAGAACAGTGCTTTATAACCTCAAGGAAGAGGTGCACTATAAATTGCCCATACCAGTACTGCTTTCTATTTTCACATAACAACTGACTCCAGATGTCCTTCGCTAAGCACGCAGACAGCAAAACAAACTGATGGGCATTGATCATTGGAATATGTCTTAACATTTGTGTTACACTGTGAAAATCATTGTGCAACATAGAATTATTTTGACATCATTATGACACATGCTGCAAACATAGCTAGGGAGATTAGGCTTACAGCACTTCGAGACCAAGGCTCTGGAAAAAACTTCCTACTGAGCATGTAACATTCACCTTCACCTGACAGTTTTCAGTCACTACTCAAGATGCACTTTTTTATCTCTTTTTTGAACGGCACCACAAGCAACGACTGTTGGAATGGTGCCACATAAATGGAACAATCGTTTGATTGAAGCCACGATCTTTGTAAATTGGTCATTACACGCAAGCTCACACGAGTTTATCAAGCATTGATAGTTTCTAAACATGTTAACTATTAAGGCACTTTTATAGGAAATATATCATTAATAACATATAATATTTTACCACAGTATAGACTAGGCAAGGAAGACATGTTGGTATTGTTTTGTTTATATTGGTTACAAAAGTTACTTAGGTGCAAACAGAAGGGTATCAGAATAGCTTTTTGAAATGACATTCAACGACTATAGAGAATGATATTTCTGAGGAACCAGCTGGAGATACCAATTGTGAATATTACACAAGGATTCTACTTTTCACTGATGATGTGGTGCGGTAAACAATGAATGATGTAATTATGTGTTGGGCGGATAAGGTAGATCAGTCCTTGGACGGCTATCTATCATAATGTGAGTAAATTTAGATATTTTATGTGGTGATGTTGTGTGCTTCACTACCCAGCTGATTGGGTGTTGATACCTTGCTCATGTCTTCATTGTGATTTTTCTATTATCACTAAATAGGTATCTGATCATCACAACCTGGATGAAAAACGTCAAGACCATCACAATGGTGGACACAAACGACCAGAAGGAGACACGTTCATAGTTTCTTTCTGCGACGTATCTGTCGCGGAATTCAACATTTCGCCACACTCGCTGATGCTGCTGGGCCTTTTTTATGTTATCTTGTACAATGTCCAAAGATGTCTACAGTTAAAAAAAAGAAATTATAAAAAAAAATGATTCACTCAAATTAACTTATGATTGATTTATGCTTCATGTTCTCAACCTTGAATTTAGGAGTCTGAATTTAATGCTGTTATTGGGAAAGTTTATTTACACCGAAAAAGTGACCCAACCGACCTAAAATATGTGTTTGATTCTTTGAGCAGTAATATATTTTTGCCAAGAAGACCAAAATAAATTTTAGAGCAATGGTTACAATTTACCAGACAAAATCATTGGGTAAATAATGATTAAGACTGTCTATAATACAAAAAAAATTCCTAGTCAATTATTATTAAATTATTAATTTTTGAATAATTGATAAGGTTAACCTTTATAGCATAGGTGAATAGGTACTGACACTATTTTATTTTCTTTTAAGGATGTTTTCCGAAATTATTTCTCATTTTATTCACTCTCTGAATTTGACATCTACATTCCAAATACAGGTAATCATTAAATAAAACATAATATTCACATGTATAAATAATCTGTCATTAATATATCATTAAACATTAAAATATATCCACCAACACCTTACAGTATGTCTAACAAACTATTTTTAGGCAGTGACTATTGTTTCACCAGTCTTCCTTATTATCATTGGATGTTATTACATATACATGTATGAATGAATTGAATTAGGACATCACCAAATCATAATTATTAGGAATTGGCTTAAGACTGGTGTAACAATGGCACACTACCCCCAGTCGCACCTTATTTTGTGACCTACAAATCCTCACTTAATCATAGAGCCCTCCACCCAACTACAGATTTTCCCCTGCCGCCCTGTGCCTGAATACTGAACAATACACAGGCGGTGGATAGGCAACTGCTCAAGAGTAAAAAACCACGACTTTTGACCTTTTGCTTTGACCTCTTCTTTTCAAAATTTAATCATGTCATGTACCATTCCACTAAATTGCTAACATACAAACAGCAGTGAATACATAACCTCCTTGGTGGAGTGATAAAAGTCACATAAGAAACAAACTATTATACAAAGAAACATTTATTTCTTATGGTGATAATGTGTACTGACCTGCATATCTTCTATTCGGACCTCAAGCACCTCAGCACCAGCCTCAAACCACTGAGTCTTTGGATGAACTAATGCTGCTTCATCATCATCATAATCCAAAGCCAGATCAAAGAATACGGTCTATAAAATATTGAGACATTACTGATGATCAACTGAAAACAAATCTGTCTGTGTTGCCCAAGCATGGTGACATCTGGGAATTAGGACAGTAATAGCTACAGTATATACATTTTTTTTTATCTAGGTGATAAATTTAAGTCGTAACCACAGGGCTAAACCAGACTATATTGTACACTCTATCAAAACAAAAGTTATGTAAATCTGGGGATTTGTAGAATCAAAGTTGGGTTAAATTTGTGGTGACCTTTGACCTAATACATACCTAAAACTCAATACGAGTATGTTATAAACTGACAATGTTACCTACATGATATACGATATCATAAAGTGTACAGCCCTCAAATTTACCGCCGGCATTCGGCAATGCCGACGTGAACAGCGGCGTGCAGCCGTCCAACGCCGACGACAAAATCATCGACGTGAAGATTTTAGGCCTAGCCCAAGCTAACCCAGGCCTACGCTGGTACTAGTTGTACCAGCTGTGGTATACACGGCAGGATCACTGTAAACACATTATTAAAATTTATTCTTAATGAAATCAAGTTATTTAATGTCTTATGTTGTATTATGAGTAAAATGTAAATAAAATCAAACTGGATTGTATGTTTCATGCTTTTATATTGTTTTTACCTGCATTTGTGGTCTGACATATTTTTTTCTAAACAGCACATTTTTTGTGTAAACATTACTCTGCCCACTAATTGGTTAATTTTTTTGGTGGGGTCATGATGGATGGGCAAAATGTGCTTGGCTGTGATGTCAGATCGCCCAAAGTTTTGTAGTGCGTGACAGCTTGCAGACAGGAACAAGCTCAGTGTAAACTGATTAACTTGTAGTTAAACAGATTTATTAAAACAAATAAGAAACCGACTACAATCAAATCTAAAAAATTTAAATGTCGTTCTCTACAATTTGTCTACAAATTTTCTCCGCAATTAGCAACATTTTTTTGAGGGATGAATGAAGCTATGAATCTACGATGTCCAAATCAAAATTAAACGTCTACTAAAAAAGAGTCAGCCGTCGTAGAAACTTGCTTTGGGTTCCTGGTTCCATCTTTCAGGTTGATTGCAATCGATTTTTAAGGATTAGGCAAGGCGATAATGCACTTTATGAACAATATTAAGGCGTAACTTTCAATTTATCGAACATTAACGTTCAGGCCTATCGGTGTGTCGTTGTAATTAATAGAATTTCTATGGCAACGCTATTGGGACTGAGCTAACTGCACGACGTGTCGTAACATTTCATTCACAGGGTGTTGCAACAGACAGCAATGATTATTGCGTTAAAATCTATGTTTATTACTATTAGCTAATTACTGTTAGTTCGGTTGGTAGTTTCATTTATTCGTCATCATTTTATCATTCAACATTTTATCAATAATTAGTTGTGATTTGAACATTAGTACGTAGGCTGGGCTTTCCAGCTTAATTGGTTGACTTGAAGACATCCATCACTGCTACAACAGGTCAGCATAGGTTGATTTCAGGGCTGTAGGCCAAGAATTAAAAACTGCCGACGTTACAACCAGCGTAAATTTTAGAGCGCCGGCGATTTTTTTTTTTTTTTTGGCTGACATACTTTTTCATAATTTTGAGGGCTGAAGTGTACAAATAAAACCATGTGTTTAATGTTTATATTCATTAGTTTTTTCGTGTCGTAATAAAGTGATCAAATAAAACCATGTGTCTAGTGTATTAATTTATCACTTTACACTTTATATCTTTTATTTAACTAAAAATCATTAAAATATAGTAAGATTACCTATGCAACAAAGGTATAATTTCATGGGAATTCCCCTTCATGGCTATGTAAGCAACAGAGCCGTGGTGTTGACTGGGCGAGAAAAACAACTAGCGTTTGTGTAGAAAATTAAATCAGATGAGATTTTCACACAAAGCTAAGAAGTAAAGAAATAATTTTTTACACCAGCGTTAGTTAGACTCTTTCAGTCCATATGGTTTTAGATTATAAACATTGCTGTTAAATAAAGATGATCATTTGCAGCGGTGGGTTGTTTACTTCTGTAATTTGACTCCTCATATTAAAATACACTGATTGAAATGATGATAAACCGACTACCAACATCACCATTGATTTGTGAAATTTGACAATGGAAACTAATATTAGGTGTTTGAATTGATGTCATTGCGCGTATGTAAAACAGGGTTTTTATAACTCTCAAGGATCTACAGTAGTAAGGATAGTACATGAGTGTAGCATGTACTGAAGTAACAGAGTATCAATAGTATGTAAACATTTTGTAAAATTCAATTTAATAATCATCTTCACTTACCTTTGAAGACACTCGGCTAAAAGTGTTATCAAAACAAAATAAATAATCCCCACTTTCTTGTGTTGTCCTCCTAAAAACATCCATAGTTTAAAAACAAAGAAAATTCCAAATTGAATAAATTAAGAATAAAAATGGTATGAATTGCATCTAGTATAGAAGTTCAACTCCATAGCATCCACCCATCAACATTATCAGAATACTACATATGTACCATAGGAGAATATTAATAAATCCTATCAATATGTTATTAGTAAATCAATAATTAACTTACGTATATATGCCTTCAGCTTTCCTTGCTTCTGTTGCCAGTGCCTTGTTACTTGGTGATCTAATGATAAAGTTGATATCAAGGTCACCACCTTCAATAACCTAAAAGAAAAATTAATAAGATTAGTATACAACAGAAAACAAGTTTTCTTATAAAAGACTTTTTTACACCTTGTTTAGCGAACTTATTTAAAAAAATAATATAATTATATTTTAAAGGTTGTCTATAAAACTAAAGCACAATTGTTGCAGTACGTCCTAAACAATAAGGCCAAATAACAAAAATTCCTTGTTTCCTGTCCCCAGGACGAGAAACAAGGATATTTTGTTAATTTGCCTAACATCTATCCCTTTCCTGTGATATTACTTTGGGACCCTTAGAAGCATTTTTAGCCTCTGTAACTTGATTTGGCCTGTTCTTTCTTCGCCGTGGCTAGAGATACAGTACCGTATTTCTATTTCGCTTTGCTAAAGGTACGGTAAATGGCATTACGTCACCATCACCCAATGAAGTGCCAGAATGTACGCGACTTTTTTTGTTGAAGACTGGCATTGCATATCACCCGCAATGAGCGGTGGAAGGAGAACGATGTACTGGGAAATTAGAACATCGAAAGTACAATACTGTTTGACTTTACTGTCATCGTTGAATAGGCGTATGGTTCAATTTTATAGTAAAGAGTTTCAGTTAGCTATATATAACCATTATCAAACAAGGACTGATTTCTGTACCAAACTCTTGGCATGTGCCTCTAAGGAATCCGCCTCTAGGCCTTGCTTTTAAATTCTTCGCTTAGCGAAGAATCTAAGCAAGCATGCAGGCCTAGGCCTTGCTTGGATTCTTCTTTTGGCGGCGGCCCTGCTCTAGTGACATATCGATCTGGGTAGCATATATCAGTCATAAACATGGTCTTACCAAGTCTGAAGTTCTCAATCCCCACATCCCAAGTTTTAGTCCAAGATACCTAGATTATCTTATCCGACCAAAATATTAATACACTTTGAATGCACAAAACTTTACGTAGACTTCGTCACTCTCACATGGTACAGAACCTAGGCCTAGATCGAGAATGAGTTTCCCCTTCATGATTTGATGCAGGTCCATTTAATGCAGTACTACGGTACAAAAAATGCTAGGCCTGTATGAATCCTCTTGTTTACAGTATATTCAATTTTTTATTGCAAGTGTTGTCATAAATAGATTACCAAAGACTAGCAGTAGTGTGTGTATACATGTGCCTTGGCCTAAGCCATGAGGATGATGCCTTGCTTGCTTAAATGATATGACTCTTATTATTGAATGGAACCCTTACGCCTATTTTTCTATGACAGTATTATAAGAATATACTGTACTCTATTTGCCTAGCTAATCATCTGCTAATCAAGTACATTTTTTCGCTAGTTACACACTGCTTACCTCACATGAGAAGCACTAAACAAGAAGATTCATAAGGCCTCCTAGCATTTTATATACCGTAGTACTGTTTTAAGGTCTGCATCAAAATTATTGGAAAAATTTGACACAATAGTAATAATCACGAAGGGGAAACTCATTCTCTCGATCTAGGCCTAGATCTGTACCACAACAGTGACGAAGTCTAGCCATACGAAAAGTTTTGTGCATTAAAATTGTATGAATATTTTGGTCAGATTGTAAAGCGTGGTATTATTTCGAGCTTCTTGGACTAAAACTTGGGATGTAGGGATTTTGATGTTCAGGCGGTATGATCACGGAGGAACTAGGCTAAGTTTATGACAGATATGTCACCACAGCAGCTGCCGCGAAAAGCAGAGCAGGCCTTGCTTGCTTAGATTTTTCTTGCCTTGAGGCATGCCAAGAGTTTGGTGGAATCAGTCCTTGTTTGATAATGATTATACATAGGCTTAGCTAAATGAAAAGTCCTCTTTACGAAGTGGAACCATACACCTATTTATCGGGTTGCTGGACAGAACGGCAAAAAACAATAAGTCAAAACGGCAATGAGGAAAACGGCAAAAACCAAAACGGCAATAGGCCTAAGTCAAAACGGCAATAAACGTTTATTTTTATCAAAACTATATTTATATTTCCAATAATTTGTGTATTTTGATATGATACCAGCAGAGACGATAGCTAAATAGTGACTTGGGCAAGGGTGGCATTACATTTGGCCTCACGGTTTTGACAACCTTACTAAATTCGTCACTCACTGTAACAACTTTCACCCCACTATCAAATTTACTATGGAACACTCTAACACTTCTATCCCCTTTCTTGATGTTAATGTTTTCATTTCAGGCAATATATATATATATATATATATATATATATATATTAGATGTTTATATTGTAATATATGCTCTTGGGTAATGATAATAATAATAAGAAGAATAATAACAATAATAATAATAATAATAATATCATACAAATTCAATAGTAAAAATATTGGGGGAATTACAATGTAAACATTTAAATAGTTGTAACTTCAAAATGCAGACAAAATAAGGCTAAACAATTTATGTCATAAAAAGTAAAAATGCGCGAAAGAAAACAATAATAATAAATAACACTTTAAAGAAGAAGAAAAACAATAATAATAATAATAATAATGATAATAATAATGATAATAAAAATAATAATAACAATAATAATAATAACATACAATACAATTAAATAGTAAAAAGACTGCAATAAAAGCAGTGTATATTTAAATAATTACAACCTTAAAATACAGATAAAATGAGGCTAAACAATATGGTGCCATGAAAGTGTAAAAACAAGGAAAAAATAATAATAAATAACACTTTAATATAATATAGGCCTAGTCATGGATGTGTAAAAAAAAACAAAACATACTAACAAAAAACAAAACACAATTCAGAAAATTATAAACTGCTGCCCGCGCCCGGTGGTGCTTCATTCTTGGCATTGATTTTGCACCTTTGCCGTTTTGGTCTATGCCTATTGCCGTTTTGGTCTATTGCCGTTTTGGTACTTATTTTTGCCGTTTTGGTTTATTGCCGTTTTGGTTTATTGCCGTTTTGGTCATTGCCATTTTGGTTTTTTGCCGTTTTGACCTGCCCCCATTTATCGATGACAGTACTACTAAGTCAAACAATATTTTACTTTTTGATGTTCTAATTTCCCAGTACTGTACATCGTTTCTCGTTTCTTCACCGCTCATCGCGGGTGATCTACAATGCCAGTCTTAAAAAATGACGTCACACACCCTATGGCACTTCATTGGGTGATGGTGACGTAATGTCATTTACCTCTGCTTTAGCAAATTGAAGTAGAAATATGGTACCGTATCTCTAGCCACGGTGTTCTTTCTTATGTAACTCTCTGTAGTTTAAGCTACCATTGCCCATGATTAAGACAGCCTCAAAGCACGCAGCATGCCCTATCTACTGCAGGCAGATTGTCTCTAGTACTACTTACTAGCCTAGGCTAGGCCTAGCCTAGGTCCTGTTTTGTAAATTAATGTTAAATCCAAATCAGATATTTTGTCATGATAAAACAACAACATTTTCAAGCTAAGACTGCGGCCGCGGGGTCTATACTTTCTGTGACGTTTTTGTCTAGGCAAGATGTAAAGTAATCGCTTTGGCTTAGCTTGAGCGGAAGGAAATACCGCCGGTCTGGCCTGGACTATAATGGTAGGCTGCAGTTTTGAACTGAAGCGACAGCCTTTTTAGACTGCTCTCCACCGCCCAGAACTGCATGCATGCCTATAAGATAGGAAAGAGGCCTAGGCCTACCTGAAATTCGAAGTCTAAAGTTTGTTTTGCCTTGATGGACTGATAGAAACATTCTCGTCTACCAGCTGGTACAAGAACAGTCATATCAATTTCAAAACTTGAGCATATTCTAAATAAATATGTGACGACTAGTCCGAAAAATGTTAGTTTGTCCTTCATCTTGAAAACTCTACATCAGAAGGGCAAAACTAGGTACGTGGCATTCACTCAACAGCAAACGATCCAGGATTCGCGATCGCAGTTGATTTTGCCAACCATGTGTTCACACGACGAATCAATAACGCCACATGCTGATGATTACAGGTGACGACGTACCCCGTACGTCAGCGTCTGAAATCTGGGCGGGGTAGGGGTGGGGGAAGATAGGGGTAATGAAGGGGAAAAGGTAAACTTTTAGGGGGTAAATATGCTGGGGTGGCCCGGTGTGAGCGTCATGGTCGGGCGTCGTTCAAACAAAATGTCTCGAACAGCTGATGAATGAATTTGCTCGCTCCGGGACTTTTTTTTCATCAACTAATAGGCCTAATGTTAGCCAGGCCAGACATAATTAATAATAAATTTCCCTTTCTTCTTCAATAAATATTTAATCATCAAGAGAATCTGGATCCTCCGCCAAGACAGACGAAGGCCGAGTATGGGCGGCGGAAGTGGTCCGGCAGGTCAGGCGGCAACCTGACCAATATTTTGCTGAGACTATAAATATTATATAGAAATAATACTTTTTCTAATAAAAAAAAAAATTTAATTCTGTGACATACTTTGTTAAATTAGTATATTATTATTATTATTATTATTATTATTATTATTATTATTATTATTATTATTATTATTATTATTATTATTATTGTTGTTGTTGTTTAATTAATTTTATTAATAGTTTTATTAATATTATTATTATTATTATTATTAACTCTATTATCCCCTCTGTTCAATCAGCAAAATTTTTAGGAGTATCAATAGCTTAACATGGAAAAAACACATCACCGAGATAGAACTTAAAATTTCCAAAAGCCTTGCATCATTTCTAGATTATCCTTTTTACCCAGTAACATCCTCCGTATCCTCTACTTAACTGGTACCCTCATTATTCCTTATGTGAGCTACTGCAATATTGTCTGGGCCAATACTGTACATATTTAATTTATCAAACATCAACAAACTCCAAATTCTGCAAAAAAAAAAAAAAAAATTATTTATGCAATATGTTTATTACCAATTACTCTATTCACAATTACCCCACCCGATCTAGAACTCATATACCTTCCCACAACACAACACAAATTATTTCAACATAACTTAAGATATTCAGGCCCTTCAATGATGAACAATCTCCCTCCCCCAATTCACAATGTTGTTTCTCTTAAAACATTCTCAAAGAAAATCAAGCTACACCTAATGTCATAATATTAAATTATTGTATCCTTATTCATAATTCGATTTGTTCTGCTTTTAAATGAACTTCAGTTGTTAATTATTTACTCATTTGTTTATTTATTTTTTATAATTTTCATTTATTTATTTTTTATTTCTTCGATTTACTTTTTATGATTGTTTCTACTTTTATTTCCTTTAAGCAGTGGCGTAGAAAAGTTTTTTTCATTGAGGGGGATGATTGGCGTGTTAGCCAGTGTCGTAACAGGCGCGGGGGGGGGGAAACTGCCCCTCGGGGGGGGGGGGGGGGGGAAACTGCCCCTCCCCTGACGGTTTTTACCGGGCTGACCAAGCCGTCGTACCGGGCTGGGTAATAAGAGAAAAGAAAGAGGGGAGAGGCAGGGAAAGAGAAAGAAGAAAAAAAGAAAAGGAAAGAAAAAGAGATGAGAAAAAAGACAAGAATAAAAAGGAAGATATCAAAATGACCAGACTCACAACACCCTGCAGCCCCTTCTCCACTTCAAAAACTGTCATAACTCCTTTGATCTATGCTGCCCGATGGCTTAACCACTGGGGGACAAGGGGAAAATATCTATCTTTGAGAAATCTTCCCCGCCTCTTTATAGATGCCCTTTTCATCCCCTGAATGTGCCTAACAACCTCAAATTTCGCGCGCATTTCTTGTTGGCATGGGCCAATTTCCTCTTAAAATTGCACACTTTAGGGAGTTTTGATCAATTCCAACAAAATTAGAATTAAAAACACCGGGAGACAGGGTAAAAATATCCATCTTTGGAAAATCTTTCCAACCCCTTGACAAATGCATCCTCTGAAAGTGGAAAGTGATTTTCTTGTTATGGTAGGCCAATTTCCTCTATAAATTACACATTTTAGGGAGTTTTCATCAATTCCGACAAAACTAGAATTAAAAACACAAAAACATTTTGCACGCTTCGCGCGCATTTTTTAGGGCTTTTTTTAGGTATATCCTTTTAAGTTATTTAAACACATAAGCCTAATAATAGTCTCAAACTCAAGAAAGACAAATTTAAGATCGTTTTAACCTAAAAGAAGGGCCTCAATATGCATTGATGGTGAAAGAATATGTTTGTAATAAATAAAACCATGATGAAAATGCTTATATTTAGTTTCAAACACACGTGTGTGGCCTATATTATAAATATGATAAGCCCTACGCATCCTCTGAGAGTGCCTAAAATTCTCAAATTCTTCGCGCGCATTTCTTGTTACGGTAGGCCAATTTCCTCTATAAATTGCACATTTAAGGTAGTTTTCATAAATTCCGACGAAATTAGAATTAAAAACACAAAAATATTTTGCGCGCTTGGCGCGCA